AGAAATATATAATGGCAACCCTTTTTGATTTGTAGCTCATACATCAATTTTAAATTAAAAATAAATTCTATAAAATTTTATTTATATCAATTGGCATATTTTCAACAAATTTCATATTTATATTTTCTTAAGCTGCCCATTCTTCTTAACATAATAATATTTCTGTTCCAACTTATATCTATAGGCCATGTCTGCGTTTGGCATTACTGCAAAATTAATAGGCTGGTACAATGTCAGCAGTTAAAGTAGGAAAGGACCTCTCGGAGCCCCGTTTGTAGTGTGACCTGTTCAACATCCTGTTGGAAAATATCATACGAGATGCAAATGTGAACAGAAATTACACTCTGTACACCAAACAACATATGTTACTCAGCTACGCCGACGACATAGACATAATGGGTCGGACATCGCGAGCGGTAACAGCCACCTTTGAAACATTAAGAAGGAGTCTGCTAACGTGGGAATGGCAGTAAATGGCGATAAGACCAAGCTGATGGTATCAACGTGCAGTAGACTCGGACCAACTGTGAAATTTGAAAACTACAGCTTCGACGTAGTGAACAATTTTATATACCTCGGTACCTACATAAACAAAACTAATAAAATCAGCTTTGAAATCCGGAGTAGAATAGTGTTGGCTAACAGATGCTACTATGGTACGAGTAAGCAACTCTAAAGCAAGGCCACCTCTCGCCAGACAAAACTCACACTCTACAAGATGATTATATTACCCGTGCTATTGTATAGATCTGAAGCATAGGTATTTGCGCAAGCAGATGAGGCAGCTCTTGGACTGTTTGAGGGAAAAATTCTCCGGAGGATATATGGGCCGATCTGCGTCGATTGTGAATATTGTCGAATGAACCATGATCTATACCATCTATTATCGGACATCGACATAGTCAGACGGATCGAGCTGCAGCGACTACGTTGGCTAGACCATCCTGTGAGAATGGATGAAGTTGCCTCAGCTCAAAGTGCATATAAAAGCGAGCCAAGTGATGGTCCACGCAGAAGGGGAAGGTCACGAATTCGATGGAAATATCAAGTAGAGAACATCTCGGAAAATGGTCCCTCAAATTGGATGAGATGCGCACAAGACCAACGCGCCTGTAAGTCTTTTTAAGCTTGGCTTATGGAACAACTGTTCTGTCATAAGCCAGCTAAGTAAGTACAGAGGCAGATAACTTGAAAATATTCATAAATATAAATGATCTAAATCTGCCGCTAAAAACAAGATGTGCGTACATTTCGAAGGAAGTTTTATTCATTTTGAAAACTGAATTTTGTCAAAAGTGAAATTGTGAAAAAATTGTAAAACGACCATGTTTTATTATAAATCATCATTAATAGTCGTTTAAGTTGTCATTTCCTCTGTATATATGTCAAATAAATCACGATATTGTTAAACATGTCCGGTGTAAATGAACCCTAAGGTTTAAAACACTTGACAGAATGGTACAATTATACAACTTTTGTCAACAAAGAAAAAATAGATCTCTAAGTTGTGGGTTATAATGTCAGATTGAATAAAAAAATTCAACAAGTTGTTTCGTTCATTTGACATATTTTTAATATGTCCGGTTTTCTTTTCAAAATCATAAATGTTGTCTTACCAAATTCAAATCTGTAAACAAATGGATTTTAGAATTTAGTAGAATTTTATATTTTTAAAAACACTAAACTTACAGTCACTCATTATGTATACGACTTAGGCATAACATATGAAAAAAAAATTAATTTATAAGCTGCTATGGCATACCTTGAATAATTGCACAATGCTTGGCCGTATATGAAGCCGAATTCTGTGTTTACAAGAGACAGGGAAGCAATTACCATTTTACAAATAACATAAAACGGCATTTATATTAGAACTCTTTACCGGGTTAACCTACTTTATCAGGATTTATTTGACATATTCAAACCCAATGGGTTAACGAAATCCGGTATAATACAAACGTACTATAACAAATCGAGTTGATTAAGGAGACTAGTCTAAACGATAGTCGAGGTACTAAATCGATAGTCGAGGTACCAAATCCTAGCTGTTTAGACTGGTATAAAGACATAAAGATGATTTGTTTACGTATACATAAACATTTCAATGGTTTTATAAATTATGTGGCAATTCTTTTTCATTTTGATAATTCTAATGGGAATTGATCTCCGCTAGATCAAAAATACATAAAAACATATGTTATTTTAAGTTATAACAATTTTCAATATAAATTAAAAAAATATTTAAAATTTTTCATCAGCTATAAATTATGCTTTACTTTTTGCACACAACACATATTGTGCGTACATTTCTATGAGTAATATTTTCCACTGGATATTAAAGATATCCTTTGATGCCATTATTCCACATTTTTATATAACTAATGTATTAATATTATTTGTTTATAATTTACAAGATTAGCAATTCATTTGAGTGGGTTATCAGCATATTCAGAATGATGAAATGTATAAAGGGAAAAACGATTACGGTTTTAAAGAACTCGTGGTAATTCCAATTTATTTATTTTGGGTTTATTAAACCGCATAGCATTTCTTGACATTGTTTTATGTTTGCTTATAATACCGTTAACACGTCTCGAAAAATATGTATTATGCATAAATTCACATCTGTCACGTAAATGCAGAAGGATGACAAAAAATTCATTCTTATCAGTATTTAAGTGTAAACACAAAAAATTTTAAGCTATTAATCCCAGCTGCTGTTGCTAAGCATATTGTTTACTTACAAAACTTAAACAAGCGAAATAATGATCGGAAATACGTTATAGACAATTTGTCAGCAATATAGACATACATATTGTTGTTTGGTAAATGGTATTGATATTGCATTGTCTACATATAAAACGGCACATACATTAGAATTTTTTAACCGGATTCTCCATTAAGCCTTAATAAGTACGAAATGCAATATATTCAATAGCATATAAATTATAGATGTAAGGTTTTTATAATAACCATCTCTAAATATTACCTTAAGCTAATGATGTAAATATTTTGTATAAATGAATAAATAATAAAAATTAAAAAATAAAATTAAAAAAATTTTACCGGATTATAGTACGTTTACATTTAACCGGATTTCGTTAACCCAGTGGGTTTCAATTGTCAATAACTGTGCATATATGTCTGTGCATATATGTCAATTAAATATGCCTTATAAAATCGTAAATGTTAACCCGGTAGAAAGTTTTAATGTATATGCCTTTTTAACCTACTTTATGAGGATTTATTTAACATATATGCAAAGGAATTGAAAATTTAAACCCACTGGGTTAACGAAATCCGGTTAGTCGATATTAACCACAACTGCCTAACAAAAAATTACATTTATAATAAATATTACTATAATTTAATTACTTTTTCTGACCTAATGGAGAGCAATTCCAAACAAAATTACAAAATAAAAATATCGATTAAAAATTAGTTATAGAAATTATTAAAGCAGTGAAATATGATTGTATACGTAAACAAATAACAGCTGATAAATCCACTTAATTTCATTTTAATACTAAAAGTACGTTCACATTTAACCGGATTTCGTTAATCCAGTGGGTTTCAATTGTCAATTCCTTTGCATATATGTCAAATAAATCCTCATAAAGTAGGTTAACACGGTAAAAAGTTTTGTAAAAAAGAGTGAATTCAGGAGTAGATTTGACAGATTTACTCAGTAAAGCGCAATCAGCTGATTTTTAATCAATTGGTTAAATGTTTATTGTAATTATATTTTTTACTGGATACGAGAATCGTACACATAAATAGTCTTTCGCCCTAAAAAGTCATAAAACTGTAAAATTCAGCTTAACTCCGGCAGGGATCTGAACCCTGGTTCCTTTGACATCTCTCAAATGTTGTTCGTTTTCTTCTACGTTCAAGTCAAAAATAATGGCAATTGGATGATATTATTATTGGGCTATGGTAACGGCCTTTGTAAGCCACATTGCCCAATATGTCTGTTGAACAGCTTAACCAATGGCGAAACGCGTCGCACTATGGTGGGAATGTAGTATATCGATCATCGATCATGTAGTTTATCTTACATGAATGCAATTTCGCCCTACTGTGTCAGTCATCTTAAGGTCGTGGGTCCGATTCTCTTGTTGGGCGCCATTCTAAGTCATCATATATTCAACTTTTAAAACGAAAGGAGTTGGTTCTGATATGACCCGTAAAACATTTTACAGCAATAAAAAATCTTTAATTGCAAGTCCAAAGCGATTTACCTTCGCTCAGAAAACGGAGAACTAGTCACGTTTATGATGCCATCACGGATCATTTTGAGAAATTTATGTATACTTCCCTGCATGTGTGTCTGGGATGTTTTGTAGATACCATTGGAGTTTTCTGTATTTTTTAAATCCATACTTCCAAAGAAATGTGCTGTGGAAGTTCTCATTTTAACACTTTCAGTGTCAAAAAATTTTTTGTCGGCAACAAATATCTAAAATTTTGTATTTAAAATCATATAATGGGACATAGTTTAGAAAAAATAGCAACTGTCATTTAAAGCCTCGGCCAGTTTCGTCTGTCCTTCAGCAAAAACAACAACATCAATAGTAACGGTACATAGGATAACCGAAAAATTACAAAGAAAGGGAGTACTTTAAAATGATATAAACATAGTTTTGTAGGGGCTATAAAATTCCTGGTTTAATGTTATGATTTCAGTTACATTTTTATAATCCCACTTACTATTATTTTGTACAATAAGTAATATTCTGTTTTTCTTTACTATTTTTTTATATAACAATAAAATTCACTCAATATTATCTCTGTATTTTGCACATTATCAACGACAACAACCAAAGACCCCGAATTGAGATGAAGTATAAATAGTCGTCGGGCACGAAGGCAGCATTTCACAAACGTTTCAACTTTCGGGCCGTACGGTGTCTCTGTGTGTGCTTCTTTGCAAATTGGCGCTATAAGGAAACAACAAAATAACGAAATAAATTTAACGGTTTTTTATTACATATCGGTGTTAAATTCGAAAACATTTTGAATGGTGACTGTGCAAAGTTTAAATCTACCCACACCACAACAATCTCAAAACCTTAAGGACTTGCAACATCAACTGTTGTTGCAGTTGAATGACAATTGCATTGGAATTCAAAATAAAAGCGATTCGAATTATCTAAAGAAGCAAGTGATATTAAATATTCTGGAAATTTGCCAAGGTAAATTTGTGTGTGTGTGTATTGATTAGAATGAGATGAAATCAATAATCAAATCAATAAATAAAAAAATAAATACAAATATATGAGAAGAAAATGTGCCTCTTAACCTTCGCTGTAATAATTAAAATATAATTGTAATTATTACTATTATAATTATCATGCATGCTGATCAGTAAAATAGTTTCATTACGTTTAGCCATGAGAAGATCTGGTAACGGAAAAAATACCGACCTACAATTTTTTTCCCCATTTGTTTGTATTGTAGGTCTTATCAGCAGTAAAGGTCAATCCTATTGAACTTTGGTTTTATTTTGAACAGATACCATAAGTTTGATGTGGTGTGCTTTTGTGTCGGATCGAAAATAATGCAAAAATATTTAATAACGTGAATATTTTTGATGAATATTTTCAATGTTAATAATATAAGTTTATACATGTGGGATAAAATAGACCATGATCTTTAAGATATTTGATTGTTTTGTCTCCAAAGTTTAATTATTTTTTGATCGGGAAATTTATTGGTATCCTAATTTTTATGGCTACTCTCTATGCCCAAAATCCACGTTGTACAGGAATTGGAAGGGATGAACGACTATTCGGATATCTTGTATTTAATACAGGAATTCTCATTGCCAACCAGATATAATCCGATTTTGTTTTCACCCGTATATGCCAGAAAGGGTGAGAAAATATTCCCTGAATTTCTTCTAAAAGAATGAAATTCCTCTAATGAGACTAAATTAGCTCGACCAACTTCGTGCTGAAATAGATGTTTTAGGGGCTCTAAACGATTAGAAACCTTAACCACTGCAATGTAAATTCCAAGCAGCTATGACCTACAATTAAGAGTCTATCTGGTTCCAAAGAAATAAAAATCTCTATAACATTCACCTATTCAGATGCCAAAAAATGTGCATTACAGTTCTGCGCATTGAGCATCCATCTAAGCACAACAGGATCAAGTGAGCAGTTATCCGAAGATGCAACAATCTTAAACGAGACTTGCATACAGCGAGGTAAAGGCAATTGTCTCCACATCCAAGACGTCCAAAACCCTTGGTCCAGAATGCATTTCTATGTTCATGTTAAAGAAGCTTAGTGCAATAGGGCTCGTTTATTACAATTCTAAAACCACATAAATCCGCTACCAATGGGAAATCTTACCGCCCGATTTCTCTTCTTTCACCAGCAGCCAAAATCCACGAATTATCGATTTTCCCGTTGATAATTCCTGATATTTGGGAAGTTGCTCGGATTATTCCAATTCTAAAACCAGATTAATTCGCTACTAATGGGGAATTCTACGTACGATTTCTTTTCTTTAACCAGTAGCCTAGCCACCTATTGTTTACGTCCCTGATTTAAGGGCAACATATAGAACAATCAGGACTTGACAAGAAATTACTTTCAAGATTGCTAATGGCCTCAATCAGCGACGACTAGTCAACGGAGCATTGTGGTAGCTTTAGGTATATTCAAGGCGTTCGATACGGTCGATTATTCCGAGCTGATATTCGATATAACAAAGTCATCTTTTAAGAATGATATTATGGCTTGCCAACTACCTTAATGGTCGGCAAGCCTTCGTTGAGTTCCGTGGCCAAAAATTCCAATATCTTAAGATCAAAGTGGGAGGCGCCTTCAAGGCGGTGTCTTATTTCCCATTTTGTTCAATATGTATCTTGTGAAACTCCACATTCTTCTACCAGATGCCGTACGTCGATGACTGTACGGTTATTTCGTTCGGCGTTAACATTGACGTCGTAAGTGCTTATTCCGAGAGTAAAGCCTTCTGTGTCACTTTTCACTTCCTGGACGATAACCTCCTTCATTTCTGCTAGCATTCCAACTAAGTCAACCGGAAGGTAAATGCTAGGAATAAAGTTCTAAAAGCTTTCGCTGGGGCATGGGGAAGAAACGACATAAAATGGCATCGTCCGTTCCATCCCTAATTATGCTGCTCCGGACTGATCTTCTTTCCTTAATGACTCACAATGGAGATCCTTGCAACTACTCAAAATAATGCACTCCAAATTGCAATCGGGTGTATCCAGATGAGCCTCGATGATAAGGTGAAGAAACGACATACAAGGCCATCGTTCGTTCCATCCCTAATTATGCTGCTCCGATTTGGTATTCTTTCCTTAATGACTAACAATGGAGATCCTTGCAAACTACTCAAAATTATGCACTCCGGGTGTATCCAGATAAGCCTCGATCATAAGGTGAAGAAAGGACATACAAGACCATCGTTCGTTCCATCCCTAATTATGCTGCTCCGGTGTAGTTCTCTTTCCTTAATGACTCACAATAGAGATCCTTGCAACTACTCAAAAAAATTCGCTCCAAATTGCAACAGGGTGTATCCAGATGAGTCAGTCAAGCAACATAATTTGTTGTTGTCTAGACAGTTTCTGCTTGCACGCTATCTACCGTGTCATAATAATAAAAATTTAGTCCAAGTTTTAAAAATCAGTTGATGTAGCTTGAAACCGATTACAGAGTTAATTTGCCCAGCAAGAATTCCTAAAATCTCAATACACTAAACATCCACCAATTATAATATGATTTCGTTCCAGTAGTCGTTCCATAAGATGGATGGAAATAACACGAAGCATGTCTGAAAAATCTAGAATATAGATACCGATTTCTGAGAGAACAAAAATATTCAAAACTGATGTAGTTAATGCATCAGTCATTTCCCAATACTATGTAAATGTCGGAAACCACACACCGCCGCCAGTTGACTCGTTATTGGACCCGTAATGATGGCATTGTGCAAAATGTTTGCCCAAAACACATTACAACTTACCCTATTCAATTCATCAGTGCGGTCTCATCCAGTGGAGGTTTGCACTGGAGGATAATGTACGGTTTTAGGTATTACTGGGTTATTATTCAATACGACTGTACTAAAATATTGGGCGATTTTCGATTTTCTTACGGAATTGTCGTTGATCCTAATGTGACATTTTGCCTCTTAAAAGAAAAATATTTCATTATTCAACATCCGCCCATAAAGGTAGGGGAGACTGGGGCACCTTCGGCAATCGCGTTTTCGATATGAAGTTCTCACCGTACATCACTAGTTTCGATACATAGGTATCGAATATCGAAATAAATAACTGACACAAAGTTTGAAATTTTTAGCTAATAAGCTTATTTAGATACATAGGTTTTTGTATTTTTATAGATGTTTCTGTAATATTTCAATTCCATTTCGTAAGTATTTCGTGTATAAAACTTTTAAAATTTTTAAGACAATATTATTAAAAAGTGGTTAACTACGATGTGTATTATTATAAAAATATTTAAAAATATAATCTTTTTACAAATCTGATCGAAAACAATGAAAAAAACTATAAAAAGTACATTCGGGGTACATTCGGCAGTTCAAAGTGGGGCACATTCGGCCATATACAGATTGTGCAATATTATTTCCGTAAAAGGTTTTTGAGTTTGTTTTTAAAACTAATCCTTTAATATGGTTCGAAATTGCATATATAAGATCAAACGTGCTTGTATTGACGAAAATGCGATAGAAAACCCCTATTTCTGATGGTGTGTGCGACCTTGAGATGCAAACGTCCGCCGCTCGAAAATAAAGCCATATAATTCAAACATTGTGTGGCGTATTAAAACCTAATAGAGCCTTTAGAGGATCAGAATTTCAACCAGACTGATAGCGATGACAATTACCCGGCTATGACTATGGTGCCGAATGTGCCCCATCAAATGCCGAAGGTACCCCGGGTTGGGGCACATTCGGCGAATTTGACTTTTTTTAAAAAACTGTAAAATTTTTTAACTAATACTATTTTTTTATATCTTTTTGGTACTATTTTTTATAATTAAGTGTCAGAGGACAAAAATCAGCCATAAAGTTGTTATATATGTTGAATAAGTACTGAGATATAGAGCTCTAAAAAAAAAGTGCCGAAGGTGCCCCAGTCTCCCCTATATACCGAATTACCCAATATATTTTAGTTTCTAGTTTTTAAAACACCGCATGCTTGACTTCGTTTATTCAATAATTTGTACAAAATATCGGATTTGACAGATGTATTACTGAGAATTTGAAACTTCTTACACTTCTTTACCCAGTAAGAATTTTCTTGTACCATCAGCTGCAAATAGATGAAGAAAACGCAAGTATTTATAAACAACATCAATTTTCCTCCTGTTATCCACTTTTTTTTAATAAAAATACTGTTTTATTTTTGCGCCAAATTATTTATTGTTTTAATTAGCTGTGTCTATACAATCTTTTTACTGGATGTTTTTCGTTTACCTTTTGTAATTTTCTCTCCTGAGAACGAAAAAAATCGTATTTACTCTCTGCAAATTCTTACTGAGTAAATGTTACTGGGAAATAAGTCTGAGTTTATACATGCAACATTTTTAAGCAACTCTGCTGATGCTCTCTTCGATTCTCTTTTGAATTTATTCCCCCTTGTCACTTCTTATACCTCTTACTTCAAAGAACTCAGCAGAGTTGCTTACAAAAGTTGAATGTATAAACCCAGACTAAACGAACGAATCTAATATTTGTTTACATATTTATTTTTCTAATATCCTTATTATCTATTTTTAATTTTGAATATTTTTCCACTTTTTTCAGACTGTGCAAAAATGGCAGCTTTACCTCAGGGAGCATTTGTTGCATGCAAATTGCGTGAACAATATCGTGATCGTGATCTTATAGTGTCACGCATGAAAACCGGTGGCGATAAGAACGAATCAAAGTTCTATAACGGTAATAAAAAATGTAAGTATATGGAGGGAAACAAACATTAAAAATAGCTAATATCTGATTCAATTGTTATTAAAAAAATGCATTACTTTTTTATTTATATATTACAGTGATGGAATATAGCCCAGTCAAGTATAACGAAAAGCTAATGAATTCTATTTGGGGATTCTACAATCGTTATTCACCCCACAATATTAAGAGTAATGAAATCGTTTCGCATGATCGTTATTATAATCAGCAACAGCAGTGAGTAAAAATAAATTTTTATTATTTATTTTTATGACAAGATTTTAATAGTATTTCATTTATTTACAGATCATCTGCTGTTGCTAACCAGCTCATTGCTCATAATATAGCAATGGCTGCTACCTCTTGCATGGAGTGGAATTTTAAAAAGAACTAAGCCGTTTATTTTTTGGAATAACTATTGAAAACAAAAGAAGTCATATTGAAAATTAAAATTTTTAAAACCTAAGTTAAGAGATTATTTGCAATGTTTTATGTGTGTTCCCTTTATAAAATGTTTTATTTTTTCTTTTATAAATATTTACATTATTTAGGCTAATTAAAATATATACTCCATGCATGCTAAGCTGTAAATGAATTGAATATTTATGCACGGCGATTCCATAGTGTTGAACAAATGTACAAAAAGGGGCGATACAATTGTTCGATATTGTGGAATAGGTCATGTATTGTAGATTTATATGAAATAAAAACAAAATATTCAGGCATTACAGCATTTATGAATCTGTTGTTCTTGGACTAGTGTGTTTTATTTATTACTTTAACTTTTAAATCGGGGTTTATGCACAATAAAATAATTGCAAAAACTAGATTTCAAACTCATTTTGTAACATCTTACTGATAATATAATTTTCCAATTTCCAAGGGATTATATAATTTTATTTAAATATTTCAAATCTTTGACAACAAAATGACTGTATTTTTAGCAAATAGAGTAAAGGTGCTAGAGACAAAATTATGAGATGGTAAAACCTTTTAGCGATACATGTTTAGATTATGTCCGGAAAGCACCCAAAAATTAAGCACCTTTGTCTACCAATATATTTACGATAAACCCTTAGTAATTATTAAATTCGTTTAACAGGAATTTGAGTATTGTCCAAGCCGAGTAGTAATTAGCTATATTTAAAAATAGAAAAACGTTTTGCACATACATCGCAAATACCCTTGGGATTTTTGGTATTGGAAATGCCATCTAACGGGCCACGTTTTGGTATTGCCAAATTGTATGTATTTTTATTTGCCTAGGACATTCTTCAAACAAATTGGCGGTAGTATTGCATTATGAGTTGTAGATGGAAGATCTATCCTGAAAATATTGATAGAAAAATAGAACAAGGAAATGGAAAATATATTAATTAGCAATTAGGATTTGAAGAGGGTAGTCGGTGGAATTATGACTTTTTGGCTCGGACGGAGAATTGAATAGATGGCGTGAGTCGTGGGGATTTTACAGGCAGGAGGGATGCCAATGCGTTCACGATACGAGTTGAGAACATTGCGGTATCCGGACCTTAGTTGTGTCAGAATTGAAAGGATTTGCCTAGGAAGAAGCCTCTCACTCTCCAGGATGATGCAGGAGGATGTTGGAGTAGGACTTCATGGCAGTTAGTGTACAGATTTCATCGCGTTCACTATCGACAATCTGTTAACGTCTGATAGAATAACGTCTTGGATGCCTTCACGATAGGTCCTGAAGTCCTGACGGATGTGTCGAGGAGGTGGATCTGCCATAACTTTGCGATAGTTGGGATGATACGGCAGACAGAACTTTCAGAACTTTATTGCTAGCTTTCATTTTCTGGAATGCTAGGAGATACACACACTATAACCTTTGAATGACACTCTTGCAAAAATTTTGGTTGTGTGATAATTTAGCCTCTCATTGAGGCAACCAGGGATATATATTCATGGTTGTCGATCAGTATTCGATACAAAAATAGTGCCACTCAAAGTGATAGTCTGTATACAAGGAGTTTATCGAAGGCCAAGCATTTTGGGATTATGGATGATGGGGATACGCCTACATTCGATGGAAATGTCTTGCTCCCAGGAAGTGAAAAGGGACAAAGTAGACGTTGTACTGGATAATTTTATATTGCGCACCCGAAGAAGTTGTTGATGTTGACTAAATAGTTGGAAATGTTCGCACTTACTTCGCCAATATTAATCCAATATTTGGAGGTGGAATTTGTGATATCGGATATCAGTTCGGAATGATTGACCTTATCGAACGGCTTGGACAGATCTAAGGCAGCTACAATGATCAGTTCATGTGGTCGTCGCTGATTGAGACCATTCGTAATCTTGGAAATAATTTCTTGAATCTAAAAACTTGGCTACTGGTGATGGAACAGAAATCGGGAGGAAGGATTCCCCATTAGTGGCAAATTAATTTGGTTTTGGAATGGAATAATCCTGACAACTTTTCAAATATCAGGAATTACCAACTGTTTAACTTGAACATGGAAATGTCGTCTGTGCCAAGGGCTTTGGATTTGAAGATAATTGTCTCTATCTAGCTGAATGTAAATGATAGGGGCTGCAGGTCTCGTTTAAGATTCTTGCATCTCAGGATAACTTTTCGCTTGATCCTGTTCTGCGAAGATGACACATTTTTGGCTGAATATTATTGAAGGAATTGGCAAGGTGATTTTTATTTCTTTTGGAACTAGATAGACCCTTAATTGTAGACCATAGATGATTGAAATTTATACTGCAGTGGTTAAGGTGTTCTAAGCATGTGCACTAGGACAAAAGCATCTATTTCAGCTGGGCTTTCGGCACGAAGTTGGTCGTGTTGTTGGTCCCTGGATGGATAATGTGTATAATCCGATTATTCCAATTAGCGGTTCGTTCTTAAATTGCCAAAAAGCATATTTGCAAACATTTTCCGATATAAATTCATATTTTGTCATAACCTCCATATACAGTCACACCGCTTTTTTGGTCCCATTTTTTAACCGACGTTAGTTTGGCATTCTGATGTTATGGGAGAACGTTTTGAAATCGTGTCCATATAAGGGTAATATGGTATTCCGGATTCTAAGAGGGTAAAAATATTATTGGTTTTTTCAATATAGGTCCATATTATAATTAATGTTCGGGGTCGAGTCTATCCTAAAATTGCTCGACTCCCAGCCACAAAATGCTCAATTAGTAACCTTTAATTAAAATATACAACTAATCTGGGTATTATTTTGTTTTCAAAACATTAACGAATTTATTGTAAATAAAAAACATACATCTAACTCCATCTATAATGAGCATATGCCCGATTACTTTCAGCTTGCCTATGTAAATCATTTTTCTTCTTTATCACTCTACCCTGACCGTAGGCAGCATCAAGAATTTCCCAAGCAAATTTCTCCGGGAAATGTACTTTTCGTTCCTTTTCACGTGCAGCTTCCAGTAACCATTTCATAGCCAAAAAGTATGAACGTTTTTCGGTTATGGGTACCGGCACTTGATAGGTGACACCACCTCTTTTAATGGCGGTCAACTGCAACAGGGGTCGGCTATTTTCAATGGCTTGTACCAATAGGGCATATGGATCTGCGGTGGCACCTTCCAATTTTCCCAAATTGATTCTTTCGATTTGAGTGCGTTTAACACATTCCATGCTACGATCGAATAGTTCACGAGCCAATTTCTTGTTTCCGCCATAGGTCATGTAGTTGATGATTTTCTGAACGAATGGATTGTAGAACACCGACAAAGATTCATCGTTTTTGGTGGCTTTCGTTGGAACGTGCAACAATTTATTGTATTCATCTTGTTCTTTAGCGGCCAGCTGAGCTTCTTTGGTGAAAATTGGTTCGACATAATGCTTTGGGTAGGCCGACATCTGTCTGGCCACCACCATGCGGGGTAAACTAAAAGAAAAAGTGTAGACATTGAAGGTGACCCATAGAATTTAACATTTCCATGACATATACTTACAATATTTTCACAAAATTATTCATTTTTATTGAAAATTATTGGAAAATGTTATTTAATAACATTCCCTAGTGCCGATGGCCAATGCTGCCAATGCTGCTGAAACAGGTATGACAGATAATCGATACTGTTTTTGCACAATAAATGTCGATAGTTTGTTATCGCCGAAGTAGGTTTCTGTAGGTGCGAGAAAAAACAGGTGTAATAGCATGGTATAATAATAGAAGGTAACAGCAAGTGTTGTACAAAAAACGATACAACAACCACATGGAAATTTGTTGTTGTAAGTTCTACTAGTGTAAACATCATTTCAATTTTCAATTTATTTACATTCAATACAAAGAAAGCCATTTAAGGCCAATTATACATGTATTGAGAGATTAACATAATATAAAGCTAAAACTATGGCAGAAAAATAATTTTATTTGTAATAAAGTTAATATAATAATGTAATAAAAAAATAATAAACGAGAATGGCCCCCCAGCCATATGAATATTGTAAATATAATATAACATACATATATATAAATATATATATATATATATATATAGGATCCCAGTAGCGAAGATTAATCAAAAGTACGAAACACTATCTAATTCAATTCACCATTTGTATATGATTTTAACAATTTTTTATATTTAGAGTAAGAATAGCAAAACATTCTAAGTGAATTTGGTAAACAGTTCCAAATCCTATACACGCGTACTAAAAAAGAGTGCTCAAAAATTGATGTCCGTATAAGAGGAACGTCAATTTGTACGTTACGGGTAGAATTGATAAAAGAGAATTCACGCAATAACGATAATGGCTGTTGTGTTTTTATAATCTTGTAAAAGTGAAGGGCAGTACGTTGATTTATATATTCACTACAGTTGCAACCCAGAAAAAGTGGTGTCAATTCAAGTACACGTACATGATCGTGTATCCCCAGCTGAAAAACATATCTAACAATTTTCCGCACTACCTTTTCAATGTTAGCAATGTTGTAGGACCATGTCCCAGAATAAACTTCAATGCCATAGTTGAGTAAAGACATTAATAATGAGTTAGCCAGATGTATCCTTACATTTTTAGGTGTGAAGGCTTTTAGACTATATAGTCTTCTCAGGATAAAGCATGTTTTCATTGAAATATTATTTATGTGTTCTGTAAAATTAAGATTTGAATCTATTATAACGCCAAGGCACTTTAAAGAATCGACAATTTCAATAGTAAGACCATTTACTGAGATATTGGGATTTAAAATAATATGGCTTCTTGGGTGAAAAAGCATAGCCTTGGTCTTTGCAGTATTTATTTCAAGCTTGCTGCGTAGTAGTAAATTGGAAATGTAAGCAAGATGTGAATTAACACATTTATCCGACGAAAATGACTTGAACAATAGAAAAATATCATCTGCAAATACATAAGGTTTACATAAGGAACTTTCCATTTCAGAAATAACATCATTAATGTATGAAAGAAAGAGAATAGGACCTAAAATAGATCCTTGTGGTACACCAGAAGTGACATGGCCGATTGTAGAATTTATTCCGTCAACGGAAACATACTGTGTCCGATCAGACAGAAATGATTGAAGTAGTCTACATGCAGTTTTAGAAAATTTGAAATTAACCCTCAATTTTTCCAATAAAATGGCATGACTTATGCGGTCAAATGCTTTAGTAACATCTAATGAAACAACAATGCAACTGGAACGGTTATCAATTTGCTGTCTTATTGAATCGGTAATAGCAAGTAAAGCCGAAGTAGTGTTGTGATTTTTCCGAAAAGCATATTGACATGGGCTCAAAATTGAATGACGTTGACAATGTTCAAGAATTTGACAGAAAAATTTAAACAAACAAATTATATTTATTTTGAATATGAAATATTTTCGAATCCTCAAAATAAAAATTGAAAAACATTAATGAAAATCTATCAAATTTATATTTCTATCCCTTCCACATCTTTCCTATAATTGAGCCATTGCGATATATATGTGTAACACATATGAAAATGCAGGGAATAGCGAGTTGTTCCTTGAAGAAAGATTTGCTTCCTCAAACTTTCCCAGCAGGCAGATTGAGTAATTTGAATACGGGAGCACATTTAATAAAGAACAATTACAAATTGTATGCGTTCCCAATTTTCCTGTTGAGTGATTTTTTAAAAACATAATTTGTCAAATTCATATTGGCACTAGTATTACGTTGGAATCAAATCAGCTGAGACTTGCTGTTACCTTTTATAATTGTACCATGGTGTAATAGGTTCCTAAGCGGTAAAAAATTAATAATAGCAATTCTCCCGTATCAAGAATAATATTTGAAAGTAAATATGAGAACAAAACTCCAAACCACCAATATGGGGTTATAGTACGTTTACATTGTACCGGATTTCGTTAACCCAGTGGATTTATATTGTCAAAAAATTCTCATAAAATAGTAAACCCGGTAAAAATCTCTAATGTCATTAAGTAAACGGCCATCATGTTTGTGTTTTGTAAAATTTTAGACCGGAAAATATGGCTATGGTCAAAAGCTATCGAAATTGCTCATTACGATTCTCAAGGTGGCTTGTTCTATTAAATCAAAATACATATTTGTGTATGTGTGTGTATCATTTTGAATACCATGTCAAATAAATAAATTCAAATAAAAATTTAAAAATATTCAAAATTAATTGAAATGAAAATGATTTTTTATCGCGTCCGACAGGAAGTAAATACTTTTTGGTTGATGAAACAAACATTTCATGGTATTCCCTACAGGATTTTGGGAATAAATTATAACCTTTCATATAGTTGCTTTTTTGTTATTCACCTTAAGCTGTCCTACCTTGTATTATTGTACCATGGGTGTAAACATCTCATTTTATTAAAACACATTTAATGTCTAAATAAACACAGAAACAATTTGTGGAAGGAAATAAAATTGGTTTACGTTTTTTTAAACTTTATTTAAAAAATAAGTAAATAAAACTGTAACAAATTCAATTCAAATAACACGATTCATATGTTGGAACCATATATTTAATATTAATAAAAGCATCTTCACCACCATGAAGCTCAAGAACCTGTAATGTTTCGTCAATCAAATCTCCCAGATTCATGTTATTCTTTTGGGCATAGTCGATTTCATCACCACAATTTACTGTTAGATAAAGAAAAATTATTGATTTGATATATTAAATTTAAAACGTGGTTATTAAATCGAAAACTACTTACAGTTTTTAACTTTGTAGGCGTTAAACATTGGCAACAATTGCCGATAAAATGGCACAAGTGCTGGACCAACTTGATCTGATGATAATACCAATTGTTGTATGATCTTCAATGTTGTACACATGACTTCCAAATTTTTCGTACTTAGGGCATCTAAAATTAAATTGATAGAAGAAAATAAAATTTTATTATATTAATTAAAATTAATATCATATAAAATTAAATTATGCAAAACATTTAGTAAGAAATTGAGTATGATAATTCATATTATAGACGCAAAACAACGTGATGTCTAATGAAATGAATTAAACATTTTTTTTATTTTTAATGGAACAATAAAATGAGTTTCTGTAATAGGATATTATTTATTCATATAATTATATAAAACGCTAATTTTTTTCATTCTTATAATTTTATTTAATTAGGAAAATATCTTGAAAATGAATTCCAATTGTTTGTTTTCCAATTTCATGTTTAAAATAGGATTCATATACTTGCTCTGTTTCATGCAGAGTTTCAAGTAATCAGCTTTCAAATGATATTGTTTCCATTTCCAAAGGGGTGTTACTTTAAGTTTAATTGCATTCCACCACTGCAGAATGTGGTGTTTGTATTGTATGCAGGGTTTGTAATATATGCAGAGTATTAAATGATGCAGTAATGCTTAACAATTTGTGCAAAGCTTAAGTTTCGAAAACATATGATTTTGATAACATATTGCGGTAACGGGCGTTCGTTTACATTGAATACACATTAGCGGCCAAAACGAAAGAAACAAAAATAAAGATATCGTTTTGGTTTTTTTCAGTTTTAAATTGGGTACTTTATCCACTTAAAAAAAAAAACAAAAGCATTAATGCAAAATTAATTATGAAATAAAAAATAATTTATGGATAAGGGAATTGTCTCAATTTTTGCTTGGACAAAACTAAACAGATGAGCTCTACAATTTTAGTTATTTTTACCGTTATAAGTACTATGTTTTGGTTTCTACACCTGTTTCGATTCTTACTGATCATTTTTAAATGGATTTTATTACAATAGCATGTATCTGTTTTTCAATTTTGACTACTGCCAAAAAATATAAAAATGATTAGAAACAAATACATTACTCCGTTTAATTACTAATTACCAGTGATTGTGAAAATATTATCACAGAAAATGATTTCGGAAAAATATTTCATGCTTAAATTAGTGATTTCTGGAATTATAAGTTGGTTCAGTACGGTGGAAGGCTCCAAAAGAACATCAGTTCGTACTTATCAACAAATTTAAGAGTTCATCGGAATTTGTGAGACGGTTATTGTTGAATGTAACCTGAAGAAGGGAGCGTGGACAAGCTATGGTAGTAGGCCTACATGCCCGGAAAATATCAGGAAAGTTCTTAAATTTCTGACAAGAATCAGAAAGTCAGATGCCTTTCGCAAAAGCTCATACTAATTGGAGTCCGACTCAGTAAATAAATATTATTCTCTCGGAAGAATTACAGTTAAATATTAAAGACTCAAACATGAATGAAATTACCGTGAGAATGTCCAAGGGTACTGGTAAGTATTGAGGAGTGTCGATATTGGTATAGGGTTGTGTTTCCTTTTAATGGAGGTCGATATATATATATATATTGTTACGTTCTTGGACTTCACTTATTCCCGTGTAGACGTTGTTTTATTTCCCGATACAGTTCGTACCAAATAAAACGCGGGTTCGTTCAGATTACGATTATTACAATGACTTTATTCACACAACTTTACTTTGCACGTTACTTTACACGACGGTTTCAATTCGCGATCTGATTCACAACTGACTCACTGCCTTTCCATTCCCTCTATTTATATGAGCCCTGCCTGTCGCTACAGAAGTTTCTAGACGATCTGGTAACACCTAGATCACGAACAATCTACCAATGCAACAAACACATTGAGTAACAAACTTACTGAGTGAACAATAACAACAACAAACTTGAGTAAACAAACTTACAATAACAACAACACATATACAGGCGAGGGAATAACAAAGAAAGAGGAATAACAACAACACATATACAGGCGAGGGAATAATAAAGAAAGAGGAATGACGTTTAACAAGAATTGTACGACAATAATAAAATAGAAAATGAAAGAGGAAATGGAAGGATGTAGAAAAATCTATACAGTGGTTGTTGTTGTGAAGTTATTCAAATAAACTGCGTAGTAGAAATTTACGTTACAATTCAAATTCTTAAATTAACGGAATTCATCTAAATTAACTTAAATCTAAAGTTATATTCGTAACATTGCCCCCCGCTTAAGCCTGTTCGTCCCGAATAGGCACAGTTCCCGTTCCGTAGGGGGTCAGCCGCTCCAAATGTACAACTTTCATCTTCGACCTGGGACTGTCGCTCCTCTGGATGCGATAAACGACGTCATTTATTTTCGTGACAATCTTGTAGGGTCCTTCCCAGTGCGTTTGCAATTTGGGGCATAGTCCTTTCTTTCGTTGTGGGTTGAACAATAGTACCAGTTGCCCTTCTTGAAACCCATCGGTATTTGCCGCTCGATCGTACCTTGCCTTCATGCGGTTGCTAACCATTTTTATTCGATGTCGGACTGCATCGTGGACTTTACTAAAAGAGTTTTGGCTGTCTTCATCTTGGTTCACATCGTCGTTTGGGGTAGCGCCGAATATCAAATCGCCAGGTAGCTTTAATTCATTTCCGAACAGAACTTTGGCTGGGGTCCGGGATGTGGAATCATGAATGGCCGATCTATAAGCCAATAAAAACTTTGGAATATGCTCATCCCAGTCTCGTTGGCCACTGTCCACCACTTTCCGTAGATGTTCTTCAAGGGTGCGATTGAATCTTTCCACCATGCCATCTGATTGTGGATGTAGGGGCGTCGTTCTGGTTTTCTTAATTCCGTAGGAGTCACACATTTCCTTGAAGATTGCTGATTCAAAATTCCTACCTTGATCGGAATGAACCTCAGATGGAACAGCATAGCGACAAATCCAATTTTTGCTGAACACATCCACAATTGTCCTGGCTTCTTGATTTGGGATAGCATAAACCTCCGGCCATTTACTGAAGTAATCCATGACCACTAAGACATACCGGTTCCCAGAGTCGCTTGTGGGGAACGGTCCAGCTACATCCATTGCGATTCTTTCAAAAGGGGCTCCTGAATTATACTGCTGCATGTAGCCTCGACTCTTCCGTGTTGGACCTTTAGCTTTTATGCACCTTTCACAATTGGCGATCCAGTCGGCAATGGATTTTTGACAGCCGACCCAGTAGAATCTCTGCTTTACCTTTTCAGCGGTCTTTGCTATGCCAAGATGTCCTCCACTTGGCCCATCGTGAAACTCCGACAAGACATCTCTTATTTTGGAGTCTGGGACGACGATCAAGTTCCGGTGAGATTTACCGTCCTCACTTTCCCATTTGCGATATAGGCAGCCATCTTTTATAAGTAGACTGTCCCACTGGGCCCAATAGGATTTTAAAAGAGGGCTTTCGGAGGTAATTTCTTTACGACTAGGTCGCTTGCCCGTTTCAATGGCCGAAATTATTTTGCCCAGAATGGGATCTCTTCGTTGTTCCGTCGACCAATCTTCTCCCGACTCAAACTGCAATCGTCGAACATCCACGATATTCTCTTTGCACTCAGCCTTTGAGCAGTGGCTGTATTCCACCTTGCATGGCCGACGAGACAGGGCATCAGCATTACCGTGTTTTCCGCCTTCTCTGTGCTCGATTCTGTTTAACGGTGACTCATTGGTGGACTGTTGAGCCATTCTTCTACCATCTTTCGTTGGAGGTGGTGACGATGACCTGGATCGTTTGCGCTTAGCTCTGCATTCGCGCGCAATATGACCTGCTTTATCGCAGTTGTAGCATCTAACCCTGGACTTAGTCATCCCTACTAACTTTGTTTCTTCTATTACCCGCCTCATGGCGTCCTTGATCAAGCTAACGAGATATTTGTGTTCGCAACATTCGGTCTCCAGTTGGCTAATCTTGTGGGTCTGGGGCTTAACAATCATTCTTGCCGTCTCTTGGGCAAGGGCAAACGACACAGTTTCGGCAAACGACGCTTTTGGTGACGCATATGTTGCACATTTAATCTCAGGGTCACGTATGCCATTCACAAAGGTTTCGATTTTCATACGGTCCAGCAATGGGTGATTCTCTCCTGGATACGCCATTAGCACCAAACGTTCCACCTCAGCTGCGAAGTCTTGTAACGTCTCGTTTGCCCTCTGTACTCTTCCCCTTAATTCCATAAGGTAGATGTTTTGTTTATGTTCGCCACCGTACTTACGTTCCAGTGCAGCAATAACATCTTCATAGTTGCTTCTAGAAGCGACAGGAATACTCTGTATAACATCAGCAGCACTGCCCTTCAATGCCAGAAGTAGTGCAACCGCTTTGTCGCTGTCGTTCCACGAATTTCTAGAAGCCACTGTCTCGAACTGTAACTTGAAAACATTGAATGACGTAGAGCCGTCGAATACAGGAGGTTTGATTTTTAGCGTGTTATCAGGAACTCGGACCGGACCACCTTTGATTTCCAGTTCCGACATTTTCTTCTCCAGATTCGTAAACCTGTGGTCGTGGGCCAGAAATTTTTCATCCACAGACAGAATCTTCTCGTCGACCGACTGCACTTTCTTATCCAACTCTTTAATTTGGACCTCCACGGTTTCCACTCTCCTTCCAATAACTTCTGTAATTTTCTCGAGTTTCTCGTCAAACATTCTACAATTCTCCGCCTTGAGTTCATCTAACTTTCTGGAATTCTCTTCGAACATTCGTCTCGTGTTTCTGGAATTCTCTTCGAACATTTTAGCCAGCATTTCTCTGAAATCGTCACCCCTGGCAGCTACTGACGAGACTTCCCCACCGTTGGATTCGCCCATTTCCGATAAATCCACTTCATCCTTACTGTCAAACTCATATGTATCGATATTCATACCACGGCGCTCGAACTCATCCAACAGACGTTTTTGGAGTTCAGCCTTGTTGCCAGTAGAGGACAATTCCAATTTATTCAGCTCCTTCTTCAAGTCTTCCACTCGTAGATCCTTAAACTTCATCGTAGTACTATCGTAATCTCACTTCCGACACCAATTGTTACGTTCTTGGACTTCACTTATTCCCGTGTAGACGTTGTTTTATTTCCCGATACAGTTCGTACCAAATAAAACGCGGGTTCGTTCAGATTACGATTATTACAATGACTTTATTCACACAACTTTACTTTGCACTTTACTTTACACGACGGTTTCAATTCGCGATCTGATTCACAACTGACTCACTGCCTTTCCATTCCCTCTATTTATATGAGCCCTGCCTGTCGCTACAGAAGTTTCTAGACGATCTGGTAACACCTAGATCACGAACAATCTACCAATGCAACAAACACATTGAGTAACAAACTTACTGAGTGAACAATAACAACAACAAACTTGAGTAAACAAACTTACAATAACAACACATATACAGGCGAGGGAATAACAAAGAAAGAGGAATAACAACAACACATATACAGGCGAGGGAATAACAAAGAAAGAGGAATGACGTTTAACAAGAATTGTACGACAATAACAAAATAGAAAATGAAAGAGGAAATGGAAGGATGTAGAAAAATCTATACAGTGGTTGTTGTTGTGAAGTTATTCAAATAAACTGCGTAGTAGAAATTTACGTTACAATTCAAATTCTTAAATTAACGGAATTCATCTAAATTAACTTAAATCTAAAGTTATATTCGTAACAATATATATATGAAGTAATGGATCGGATTGTCTATAGAGACAAATGATTTTACACACATACAGTTTTATACCACCTCGAAATATTCACCGAAAATATATAATTTATTCTTGTGTGTTAATTTATTCATGTCCGTCTGTCTTTGCAGTTGAATTATATTATTGATCTGTTCCCGTACTGCAAGAATCTACTAGATTTTACTATTTTCTTCGATATCATAAAGGAAAATTTGTTATCGTAGTAAAAAGTAGTAGATTCTTGCAGTACGGGAACAGACCATATGTCGAATTATATGTGTGTTCCAGAACTTCCAAGTAGGAACAGACCCTATATTTGTTTGTATATACATAATTCTTACGCCATGTGAACTCTCATTCTTTGTTCGATCCTAATTATGAAATGATTATAGTACTTTTTCTTTGTACCGGATTTCGTTAACCCAGTGGTTTTAAATTGACAATTCCATTGCATATATGCCAAATAAATTCCCATAAAGTTGGCTAGATCTAATAAATAGTATACACAATTTTCTGAGCGAAAACTGATTTTTGTAGATTGTTAAATTCAAATCACTCTCTGAATAACCAAGAAATTTGTCCTATCCCTAACAATTGAAAATAAATAAATTTTAACAACATGAATAAATTTCATGGCATAATTATACAAGGTAGTCTCATGCAGTCATATGTTTCCAATTTTATTCATAAATTTGCTTTTGACAGTACTCAGCTTTCAAATTTTAAATGAAAATAACTTGCTTCAAAATGTACGCATTTCATGTGTTCAGTGGCAAAAATTGTTAAATAATTTATATTTATGAATATTTTGAAGTTATAACAGCAATGGTTAAATCTTGAGAGCAACGTTCAGCTTCAGAAAATATATTTTGTTTAATTTATTTAAAATATGCCAATCGACAAATATATAAAATTTTATGGAATTTATTTTTCATTTTATTCCTTAAAAGAGACAGCCTTCCATAATTATGCCATGAATAAATTTATAAATTTTACAAATTATTTCATTAAAACTGAAACTGGTTGATAAAAAGTAAAAACCTGAATATACTTTATGCGACTTTCCATGTTACAATTATACAAGGTAGGGTATCTTTAGCCAAGTTTATGTGTAGTTTCGCTTTTTTGACAAAAGATGCTCTACCTTATGTCAGAGTAAACAAAAACAAATGCAATAATTGGTCTGTTCCAGTACTTTTTTTAATAGTAAATCTAGTAAAAGGGAAAACATTTCAAAATTGCTCTGTTCGGGAACGCAAATCTAGTAAATATGCCAAAATTATATGGCGATACTTCAAAATCAACATAACAGCCAATCAGAAGTAGGCATTTCTGTTTACCATTTTTACTCGACCAAATTTCTCGAGTAAAAAGTTTTCAAAGAGAACGCCATTTTGTTTTGTGCTCTCTTAAATTTGAGTCAATGTTTTACCAGTTTTGTGGGTTGAGGAACGGTTTTCGAGTAAAAAGTTGCAAAACATGTAAAATGAGTAGATTCTTTTAGGTTCTGGAACGGAACTAATTTGTTCTGTTCATCTGACATTTAACAAAAAAAGCGAAAAATTAATGGAATGTCAGGTTTTATTTTCAAAATCGAGTTGAAAATATGATTTAATAAAATCTCCATTCCATAGCGTATACGTCTGGATGAACAGGATTATCGTGACGTATACGATATGGATGGAGCGAACTGTTGTGATACCGAAAGTTTACAAGCTTATTCAGTAAGGATTTCGAAGATGCATCATCTGAATTTTAATCACTAGTCTTCTGAATAACTGTGAACTTTTTTCTAAATCATATTATGCATTTTGTAATCAAATGGCGAATTCCAAGAATTTGACGATTCCTGACAAAAGCCTTCTGGCGGTTAACAATAATATAATTATGGATTTATACTCACTTTTTAAGGGTAAAATCAATTGTGGTATTACGGGTGCTATTTTATCTCCACCAGCTAATAAGAGGTCGGATACTCCTTGGCGAGCATAGGTTTTATACGGATGTTCAGTTTCACAGAGACCGTCGAAAAACAATGGCAAATAAAGGCTGTAGTCCAATTTGTCAATATCAACCTGAAGAAGGAAAATACAAGTCATTCAGTCATGGTATAATTATTACAAGTTAGGGCAAAGTAACCAAATCAAATCAAAATACATATTTTGTGTATGCAACAACATGCTGCGTTTATTACTTTATGTTTGACGGAAGGAGCTAATACATACAGAGTTGCAATTTGTTTAATCTCTTCAAGATATCCTACCTTCTATTACCACCTAAAATAATATAAATTCAAATCTAATAAATAAAATCAATATATTTGACAGGTAACGTTTATTATAAAAAACACTTGTACAATCGTTGTCGGTACAGCTGCTATATTCATCACCTGGTACAAGAATACACATCATTTTTATTTTGGTGATAGTTTTTATTTGAATAATATGTCCTTTTATCTGTGCATGCCAAATGCTAAATAGCCTAGTAGAAGTGTGTATGTTTATTATATGTATATATTTTTATTAATTCTCTTTAGTAAATCACAAATCAATCAAGACATGAGAATTCTTGGCAAATGTTGAAAATCAATTTGCAAATCCAAACATTTGTTTCGTGTTCAATTGTTGTGTTGGTTTCATGGTATAATAATAAAAGGTAACAGCAAGTGTTGTTGTACAAAAAACGATACAACAACCACAAGGAAATTTGTTGTTGTAAGTTCTACTAGTGTCAACTCATTTGACAGAAAAATGTAAACAAACAAACAAATTATCATCAAATTATTTTTATTTTGGAAATGGAATATTTTCGAATCCTCAAAATAAAAATTGAAAAACATGAATGAAAATCTATCAAATTTATATTTCTATCGCTTCCACATCTTTCCTTTAATTGAGCCATTGCCATATATATGTGTAACACATATGACAATGCTGGGAATAGCGAGTTATTCTTTCAAGAAAGATTTGCTTCCTCAAACTTTCCCAGCAGGCAGATTGAGTAAATTGAATACGGGAGCACATTAATAAAGAACAATTTCAAATTGTATGCGTTCCCAATTTTCCTGTTGGGTGATTTTTAAAAACATAATTTGTCAAATTCATATTGACACTAGTATTACGTTGGAATCAAATCAGCTGGGATTTGCTGTTACCTTTTATAATTGTACCATGTGTTGGTTTATATATTTTTGGCAAAGGTGCTAGTGTGAAGTCTATGACACTCGATGCTGTTTCCTGTTTGGATAATAAAACGTTTGAAACTTTTATATCAACAAATAAACAATATTTTTATGTCAAGGATAGTCGTTAGATGGTGTAGATGATATCACTGTTACCAAACAAATTACATTTGTGAAGGTCATACAAATATTTATTTTGGCAGAGAGTTCTCTTACATCTCAGCATGGATTTCAGAAAAAAATGTTTCACAGAAACGAACTTTCTTCTACCATAGTAAATCGGAGATTTCTTCGAAGAATGCAAACCGATACTGTTTACAAGGATGTTACGATTAAAACTCTTCTATTTTTTCATTCATAAATTACCTCAAACAATAAATTTTCTAATATCCTGATGAATGCCGACGATGTGAAATTATTCCTCAGTTTTTCCGACATCTCAAATAATGAATTGTTACACCATGATTTGAATTCGTCTACCAATAGAAATAAATTACTAGAAATGCAAACCCACGAGATTTACAAGAAAGTGTTAAATTAAGTGTTAATACGTTTGTGGATCTAGGAGTTCTATTGGATTGTACACAGAATTTTAATTCACACATATCAGCAACAATAAACAAAGCCAGTCAATGCTTCGGTTTGTTAAACGTTGGAGTAAGAAGTTCACGGATCCGTACGTCCAAAAAAGTTATGCACAACGCTCATTAGCCCTACAGTGGAATACTCTTCGCTCATATGGGATCCTATATATCGTTAGCTAAAATGCAAAAAGGCGTAACAAACAAAAAAAATTGAAAATTGATTTTTTGAATGAATATTGTGAATGTCAATAAACTACATGTTTACAAAGTCTATTTCAATTTTCCATTTTTTCTTAGTTACGCCTTTTTGCATTTTAGCTAACGATATATAACACACAGCGATCTCATCAAGTCCGTTCAAAAGCAATTCCAGTAGCATCTAATAGGCTCTTTTAGCTCACATTTATAGCTAAAAAAGCTATTAAAAACAATTTTAGTCAACAAAAACGGTTTTAGTCAATAAATATTAGACGATGTAATTGGAAAATAGGCCATAAATTTAAATATTGATGAACATTGCGGGTAATGAACTTTGAGATTAATGAAAAGTGTGTCATAGATTGAAGCATTGAATGGTAATGAACTTTGAGGGTGATGGACAGCGAGAAGAAAGATCTTTGTGAGTATTCTAGTGAGAGGGTAATACAGTAAACCCCGCTTAATTACCTCAGTGAAAATTTCAAGATTTTTGAGTAATTATCCTTGGAAGGTAATTAAGCGAGCACGATTATTTACCTCGTAATTATCCGTGGACCCCGGTTAAATACCCAGCAAGGGTAAATATCGGTGGACACTGGTGTTTTGTTTTTTCTTTCTTTTTTGTTTGAGATATTAAC